CACAATATTACTGTTTTTTTTTTTAAATAATTGCAGCCTTGGTGAGCAGAAGAGACTTCTTAAAAAACATAAACAATCTTACCGATCTAAAACTATATATTTCTATACTACTAACAGCAGTGTCGCTGTACACTGGCAAAGAGGGGACATTCTGAATGATATCTATCCAACCAAGTGGGGACTTTGTGTGTGTGTGAACTGGCAGTGAAATCTTTCTTAATTCCGCTTACATTATATATCTATTATATACATTATATATATATATATATATATATATATATATATATATATATATATATATATGAAGAGTTCAGATGCAAAAGCCTCTAAGTGCCGTTGGAAATATTCTTCAAAAATGATCATTTTTTATCAAACTTATATATTCAAGTTCAGTAATTTCACTTAAATGACAATTCATTGTCATTTAAGTGAAAGTACTGAATTTAAATATACAAGCTTGAAAAAAATGATCATTCTAGAAGAAAATTTCAAATGGCAGTTAGAGGCTTTTGCATCTGAACTCTTCATATATATATATATATATATATATATATATATATATATATATATATAATATTCACATAGAAAAACGCTGTTTTAAATTGTAATAATATTTCACAATATTACTGTTTTTTTAATCAAATAATTGCAGCCTTGGTGAGCAGAAGAGACTTCTTAAAAAACATAAACAATCTTACCGATCTAAAACTATATATTTATATATTACTAACAGCAGTGTCGCTCCACACTGGCGAAGAGGGGACATTCTGAACGATATCTATCCAACCAAGTGGGGACTTTGTGTGTGTGAACTGGCAGTGAAATCTTTCTTAATTACAGTTAAATTATATATCTATTATATACATTATGTATATATATATACTATTTTTCTTATTTAACGCTCTCTCTTCATATACTTTCTATGCTTTGTTATGCAGTCCCTAACAATTTACTTGCCATAGTTATGTGCCATTGCACACACACGTCTATATTACTAACATATACATGTATTAACACAGAAGTGTCGCTGCACACTAGCCAAGAGGGAACTTTCTGAATGATATCTATCCAACCAAGTGGGGACTTTGTGTGTGTGTGTGTGAACAGTGAATTGAAGTGGCAGTGAAATACACATCCGTAAAGAGGGTCGCACACCGAATGAGAAGCGCAGCGCTGCGCCACGTCTAGGACAACTCCAAGTATCGCACACCGGATTCACACTTTCTCATCAGTGTATGGCCAGCAATATTGTTATGTTTAATTACATGAAATGAAGATGTTTGTTCTATGTTATAATTGTACTGTACAATTAAATACAATCGTTGCTGAGTCTGCAGTCTGAAAACTACCTCAGAGCATCAGTTAACTGAATGAATTGAGAATCTCACATGAAAACCCAATTACATCAGCAATTGTCATTCAAGCAGCTGATTTATGTAAATGAATGCACAACTAAATTTATTGCAGCATAGGGCAAAGTCAGTATACATTATCAACGATTTGAGACAATAAAATAATTTAAACTTTATATAAAACTAAATGGCACTCTGTGGCGGCAGCAGGATTACGTTCAAAAGGTCACGGGCGACGTAGCCGTAAGTACAGAGTCAGTGTTTACAAGTTGAACGCATAGGTTGAACGTGCAAACTAACTCAAACGCTGTTTACAAAAAAGTAATTAAAAGGTAAAACAACGATGTCGGACGATTTTGATTCTGTACTTCCGGCTACGTCGCCCGTGACCTTTTGAACATAATTACGTAATACGTGACGTTACAAACGCGCCTGACAGAATAGAGCTAGGCTAGCATTTGTCCTTAGAAAAGTTACATTTTTGGAATAAGTTTTGAAATAACCGATCGTTTTGCATGATAAGACCCTTATTCATCGTCTGGTGTCCTTTAAAGACATTTGAAGCTGCATCTGAAACTGTTATTAACCGTCTTTTGGACCTTGGACCGTCTGGTTCCCATGTAAGTCCATTATATGGAGAAAAATCCTGGAATGTTTTCATCAAAAACCTTAATTTCTTTTCGACTGAGAAAAGAAAAACATGAACATCTTGGATGACATGGGGGTGAGTAAATTACCAGCAAAAGTTTTTTAAGAGCCACAAACCTGTATATAAAACTCTTTTTATTCTAGATACACTAAATGCATACAAAGAATAGACAGGATTTTGATGCAATATGCAAAAAAAGTCAGAACAGTCACACAGCTTGATCAAACAGGATCATATTATTTTATGTTTGAGATAGATATAGATAAATAAAAATATAAATATTTAGACATTTTTTTTACGTTGATCTTACCTAAATGTTTTTTTTTTTTTTTTTTTTTTTTTGTTAAGAGTTTAAGTAACACATGGAAGCTTGATTTCAATCTTCGAATTAAACTGAAAAAAGTAGCAAATAAATAGAATAGAATAAAGAGTTTTTTTGGTATGTCAGAAATACTACAGAAACTGAATAAAGTAATCCAATGTAAAATAACACTGGATAGTCTTTTTAGTCCAGACTGAATTAAATACAAAGGCTATTAATTCTGATTGCTTAGAATTAATGCTATATTCTGTTGTTTTAATTCAACAGAATTAATGACACATATGGCTGCGTTCACTTTAAGAACGGATCCCTGTCTCATTTGTACTGTCTGTCTGTCACACGCGTTTAATGCTTATTTAAGACATTAGACTGTCTTTACGAGGTTACTCACCAATACCAGAGTTTTGACATAATGTCGCGTGTTTTTAACTGTTAAAGCGATATAATCCAGGGATAAAACGTTTGTTTCAGGCGAGCTGTTTGAGGCGGATTGGCTTTACTGTATGTGCACGCAGTGAAAGACATCTCTGAGAGTGCGCGAGCACGGGATGGTTTAATATTGCTTGAATGTTTAAACTAAAACTTAAAAAGACGTGAAAATTATAAACGTTAGTTACCATCATAGGTTACGATGCAATGCTGGCCCGATTGTGCAAGTGAATATTTCGTCGTGTCCCGACTCCTAAACGCGAGTGTGAATCGACAGCTGCAGCGCTTAGTGTAGGGCTGCAGCTATCAATTCTTTTTGTAATCGATTAATCTAGCACTTAATCGATCGATTAATCGAGTAATCGGATAATTTGTTTATGTGTGTTTTTAAGCAACCAAAACAAATAATGTATTACGAAAATGATAAGGTGTTTGGCTTTTATTTATTTAAAAGAAAATAGAGGTATTTATTCCAACTGCAACATTTGGCTCCACAACTAATTATTGCAATTTTTACCCGTGTTTATAAGTGCCAGTGCCAACAATTATATAACAATACAGTTAAAACAATTTACTGTAAAACCTGTTACATGTAGCCCATAACATGTAAAACTTTGAATACAAACTTAAATAGTAAAGCCCATTTGGCCTTAGTTTTGTCTTCTTAATACAACATTACAAAAAAAAGGATTGCACCTTCTGCAAATTACCCACCTGGAAACAAAAATATATTAATATAAAATATCAACCCAAACAGGTACACAAATGTGTACAATTTATAAAAAATAAATAAATGGAAATAAAACAATTATAAATAAGAATCAGACTTTTTCAACTGTAATCTCAAGACAAACATCAGAGTGTGTGTGTCTGTGTGTCTCACAATATTTGTTCCTCCATCACGTCCCGGTGAATGTATGCTGAAATTTTTGTTGCGTGGCTACATAAAAGTTTAAGCATATGATGAATTGCCGCAATTGGTCTGACTGGCGCGTGAGAGAGACATGGGTGCACGCGCTCGCTTACCTCTCTGCCGTAGTGCGCGAGCCGCGGTTAGGAGCTCAACATCTCGCATGCGCGCTCGCACTAGATTACAGGATATTTTAACTTGCGAATTAATATGCGGCGGTAAAACTAGTAGATCACGGGTGGCTCAACAGGTAGATCTATAGACGAACTCATCTTTCAGGCATTTGACCGAAGGGATATACACGCAGCGTGAAAAATCGAATTGCGCGAGTCTCACGCTGAATGCGTGAGAGTTGGCAGCCCTGCCAGGTATACTTTGCAGACACATTGCATCTTGTTCTCTCCCTTTATAAACATATAATGATCCCAAACTTTAGACATTCTCTGCAATTTATGAAGTCATATGTATCATGCGCTGTGGTGTGCTTCCTGAATAACGGTCCGTGTGAAACAATCAGATCCCTGCGTGCGCCATAGGAACTGCGTCATTTAACGAGGCTTCGAGGCAGATTTTTTGCCTCAAGGAATTTTTGTAATCGAGTAACTCGAGTAACTCGAGGAATCGTTTCAGCCCTAGCTTAGTGCTTGCCTAGTGCAGTGAGACGAGAAGACGCCGCACCGCGTCCGCGAGCCCTTTACATGGAAAAAATCGATTCGAGGCCGTTGAGAATCGATTTTGAATCGGCCACATTTTAAAAACCGATTAATCGAAAAATCAATTTTTTTTGCCCAGCCCTAACACACATATATATATATATATATATATAAATCACATAAAACAAAAGCCTGCCGGAAAAGATGGGTCTTAAGGCAAGATTTAAAAACATGAATACTTTCACTGTTTCGCACATCTAGTGGCAGCAGGTTCCATAAATAAGGAGCTGCAAAACTAAAAGCCCGGGACCCCATAGAAGTAGTGCGGGTTCTAGGGAGAACAAGAGTGAGCGAGGAAGACGATCTTAAAGTCCGAGATCGAATATAGATATTAAGAAGGTCCAATAAATATGAAGGGGCAAGGTTATTGAGTGCTTTAAATGTCCGCTTTGGACAGTATTCATGTAAATTATGTCGGTTATGTCTTAAACAGTTGTGAGTGTATCGGATGTGCATCAGTGCAATTGGATCCGTATGTCATTGGAAATAATCCGACGTCTTAAAGTGAAAGTGGCAACAAACATAATGTGGTCTGTGTCCTTAATATTGATCAAGCAACCAAAGAAAAAGAGAAAAGCAATCACAGTTTGTTAATAGCTTTAGTATAATAAGGATTAATTATATTTAATTTACACAAAGAATATTTCTGCTTGAAAGAATAAAGAAGGATGTATGCATGGTTATAAAGAATGCATACTGTATATCATCCATTGAAAAGGCTGTGTTGTACTTTAGGAAAAGTGGTTTTTATTTAATTTTAAGATATTTTTTAAATCACAGTAGTTAAATCCGTATCTGTATTGCATGTTCAGACTTTTAAATCATTTATATTAATAGGTTAATAGATGTTTTCTTCGGGAGTGTATGGGTTTGTACATTTTATTCTATTCTAAAATCTAAATTAACGCATTACAATTTAACTAAACCCATTATATTTTAGTCGACTAAAATCCAATGTGATCTCATGAGAATACGTATGCATTTGTACGTAAAGTGTAGTTCTATCATACGTACATATAATTACGTTTTATATGCGCAGAAACGTATAATACTGACGTATTTACAGAACTAAAATGTAAAATATTTACGTTATTGACAGCACAAAAACGTAATTTATTTACATTTGAACAAATCCACCGATGTACACATTTGTACATATCACAATTTATGCATATTAAAATCGTAGCATTATGTTTTGACTCTATTGCATTCAACTGTCTTATTCATTACGTTTTCAGTCTCATTTATTGATATAATACTCATAAATATTAACATTTTGCTCGTTTCGCCTGCATGGTGTTAAACAATACACTATAAAACCTTAAAAATACATTCTTTAACTTTACTCGTTTAACCATTTTGTAATATAGTTTATTTGCCGTGAGGCACAGAAAGTGTTTTCTCCTATAAAACAAAACATAAATTCACAAAAGACATCAATTTTATTAGTTTGATGTAATCCAAATCTTTAGAATCCATAGCCTACGTTGTTTACAAGAAAAAAATCCTAATTCAACCTTTTATCCAGTCGTGATCTTCGCCTCCATTCTCC